TCTCAGTGCACATGGAACAATTACCAAGATAGATCATATTCTGGGCCATACACAGGTCTCAATAAATTCCAAAGGACTCAAATCAAAGTATGTTCTCTGCCCACAAAAAAATTGTTAGAATCAATATTTTAAAATAAATTATTGAAAAAATCAGTTACTAGGTAATGGAGAAAGATATGGAAGGAAGCACATTGGGTTGCATTAACATTAATTACCTCATAGAAATGAAAATGATTGAAGGCTCAGGACAGAGTCTTAAGCTTTTTAAATATACTTTTGTATTGTTTGGTTAGTTATAATAAGCACGTATTCTTTTTGAAATTTAAAAAGAAAAGCGTTTTATTAAATAAATATATTTAAAAAAGCATTTTTAAAGCTCTATGAAAGTTCTCTAAATATTTAAAATAAATTCCACTTTTCCCCTTATGGTGGTGTGAACCAACTTCTGTATCTAATAATCCTATGAACCTTGAATAAAACAATGATTAATGCTATGATCTGTTTAATACTTCCCTATTTCTGGGCATTTGGATCTTTTTACAGTTTCTACTTTATATATAACTAAAGCTATAGTGAATAGATAGGTCTTTAAATGCCAGCCCTCTACTTTCCCAAAAATCCATCTCTCATTGTTTAGTATCTCATACTCTTGCATCTGTAAAACAAACACTAATCTACAACCTTTTTTATTCACTCATTTATGCCTCCTATTATCTAATTTCTCAAGAGCAGAGGTCGACTCTAAAATAGCTTTGACCACATAGGCACTTTTCCTATGGCAGTGATTAAACATAATAAACATTTGCTCCTTCACCTTTGCCTCAAAATCCTAGAGGGCTCACTTTAATCTATAGCCAATATATTTATGGAATATCTAATTTGTTAAGTAGCCTTTTATTTTTTATTTATTTTTTTTAAAAGATTGTATTTATTTACTTGACAGAGACAGAGAGAGATAGCACAAGCAGGGGGAGTGGCAGGCAGAGGCAGAGGGAGAAGCAGGCTCCCCGCAGAGCAGGGGGAGCCTGACGCAGGACTCGATCCCAGGACCCTGGGATCATGACCTGAGCCGAAGGCAGTCACTTAACCAACTGAGCCACCCAGGTGCCCTTAAGCAGCCTTTTAAGTACTGATTATCAATTACCAAACATAGCATGTAAGAACACTTAGAGGTTAGTGACATTTTTCTAAAGATTTATTTACTTAACTTATTTATTTATTTATTTATTTATTGAGAGGGCGTGTGAGCAGGGTAAGGGCCAGAGAGAGAGGGAGAGAATCCCAAGCGGACTCCTTGCCAAGTGTGGAGCCAGACATAGGGCTCGACCCCAAGACTGAGATCATGACCTGAGCCAAAATCAAGAGTCTGACGCCTAACCAACTGAGCCACTCAGGTGCCCCAGTTAGTGACATTTTTTCATGAGATTTTTTTTTTCTGATTATAAAAGTAAAATTGCTCACAGTGAAGCTTTGTACTATATCAAACAATATATAATAAAGTATGTAATTTATGTTTTTCCTTTTAATGTGGTGAAAATCTTAATATGTATACATTGTTTATAGCCTGCTTTTCTCACTTTATTATAGTGTATATTTTTTCTTTTTTTTTTTTAAGATTATTTTATTTATTTATTTGAGAGAGCGAGAATGAGAGAGAGAGAGAGAGCATGAGAGGGGAGAGGGTCAGAGGGAGAAGCAGACTCCCTGCTGAGCAGCAGGGAGCCCGATGCGGGCCTCAATCCCGGGACTCCAGGATCATGACCTGAGCCGAAGGCAGTCGCTTAACCAACTGAGCCACCCAGGCGCCCGTGTATATTTTTTCTAATGTCATTAGGTGTTTACAAATACAGAAGCAACTTTTCCTTTTTTTTTTTTTTTTTAAGATTTATTTATTTGAGAGAGTGTGTGTGTTCCTTGGGGGAGGGGGATGCGCAAGAGGCAAAAGGAGAGGGAGAGAGAAACCTAAGGAGACTCTGTGCTGAGCATGGAGCCCCACGTGAGGTTCAATCTCACAACTCTGAGATCACACCCTGAGCTGAAACCAAGAAACCAAGAGTCAGTCACTTAACCAATTGGGCCACCCAGGCACCCTGAGAAGTAACTTTCAATGTATTACCTCAGAAGGAAAATAATTAATTACAGCTTGGAATTTAGCAGGAAATGTTTATATCTTACCAAAAGTCCTAGGACTTTCTGTTGAATGGATGACTCAGTTGGGAAAGACTGTAAAAAGAAAGAGAAACCTATAACTACCTAAAGAACCAAATATAATAAATGAATACTTAAAATCAATCAATGTCAAAACTATAGGCTAAATTCCCATTCTAACCTCTAGAACCCGCATGAAGAGTTCTAACCCTTGGTTTTCAATAAAATGTCTGCAAGTGGTTGGAGATTCATCCGTGAGGTTCCAAAGTGCACTCAAAGTAAACTTCAAAGTAGTGTCCACTGAATTTTGATTGGTTTTTTGCTTCACTATTTGAAGAAGTTGCTGAAAGAAGGAAAATAGAATGAATTTCTCATCATGAGACTGTTACTATAATTAGTGATGATAATCACAAGTCATGAAAATTGGTCTCATGGCTTAAAACATTTCCTATAAACGTTTTAATAAGTACAACAAACACCTTCTTGGATCAGATTTTTCCTTCAACAAGAAAAAAGTATAGGATCTTCAGAAATACTTTATTATTCTGATGATACCTATAATCTAATACCCTGTAAATAAAATAAAAACCAAAATGATTACAGCTTGATTAAAGCTTAGGAAAACTATCTTACCCAATCAGTCACATCATATATTCATTTCAGATCCTGGGATAAAAAAAGTGGAGGGGGAGAAGGGGAAAGGAAGCTAACATTTATCAAGTATCAGCAAATTATTTCCTATATTATAGTACTGTTATGTCCATTTTTCAGGAGAGGAAATTGAGTCTGAGAAATATTAAGTAATTTGACCACAGTCAACTTAGTAAGAGAAAATAAGAATTGGAAGACCTAATTCTATCTAATTCCAAGTTTTCCTTAAGAAAATAAAGAACAAACAAATTCTATACAATAGTAAGAGAACTAAAGTCTATATTGGATTTGAATAAGATAATAGCTTTGAAATTCCATTTGTAAATTATTTCTATCATAGCCTTAACCTAAGAAATTTAAGTCTGAAAGATAAATGTTTTGAGACCTAGATAAGGCACCCAATAATTCCATTTTTAGATTATAGTTTTGGGGGTAAAAGGGAGCTCTGCTCAAACAGATATAAGAAAACATTAATGAACGCTATTATGTAAAGTTACACACAATTCAGGAAAAAAAATTTTTTAAATAAAAACATCTCAGTGCAATTATGTAACATAATAGCATAGTGGCTAAGCGTGTGGCACTAGAATCTCCATCTGTGTAACCTTGTTTGCCAATTTAATCCTTTGCTTCCTCATCTGTAAATTGTGGGTGATAATCGAGAGATTAAAAAAAGCTAGTGATCATCATCACTACTGTCACTACTACTGCTACTAATTCCTGCTTAAACTAAGTTTAATTTTCCCCCAAAGCATATAAGTGCATTACTTCCTTAAAATCTTTGAATATACCCCCAACCAAAATTACTGAAACACATATGTAACAATGAAAAGCCATATTTAAAACTAAAATGTCATCCCTGAAAATAGAAAAAATAAATAAAATCAGCAACCTTCTCTACTTATCTAACATACACTGTATTTTGTGCTAAGCATTTAGCATATATTACTTCAAATAATTTTTTTTTTTTAAAGTAAGCTCTATGCCCAATGTGGGGCTTAAACTCACGACCAAGAGATCAAGAGTCGCATGCTCTACCAACTGAGCCATCCAGGCGCCTCCCCTTCAATTAATCTTAATTTTCTTTTCATTTAATCTTCATAATAACTGTACAAAGTAGTTTATCACCCTAAGTAAATTTATGTGACTGCCCAAGCTAGTAAGTGATAGAATTGGGAATAAACCCAGATGTGTCAACTCCAGAATTCCTACTCTTTCCATTATACCACCACAGCTTTCTCCTCTCTTTACATTACTCTTTTCATTCATATTGCTATTATTATACATATTAGACTGTATTACAACCATGTCTAGATAGCTATTTTCTCCAGTACTTCTTATGGACAGAAATTATAGAAATAATTCAATGGGAATCCCTAACATCTAGTAAGGTGCTAGGTACCTGGTAACTACTCTACACATATATATCAAAGGAATGACTTTCTCATTACATACATAATATATAAATCAGAAAAAGGGGAGTCTTTTGGGGTACCTGGCTGGCTCAGTCGGTGGAGCGTGCGACTTTCGATCTCGGGGTTGTGGGTTCGAGCCCCGTGTTGGGTGTAGAGATTACTTAAAAATAAAATCTTAAAAAGAAAAAAGAGGGAGTCTTTCATTTGACTTTTTAATCTACTATTACTGTTTAAACACCTCATGCCAGGACTGTAGCAAGAAACTCTGAAGTAGACTTTTTCCTCCAGTCCTCCCCTAGGACACTGTTTATATTTATTCTATGTAAAGCTTTTTAACTTTTCACTGTTCATTGTATCATCTCCTTAATCTGAGTGTAAGCAAGCAAAATTATTTTAGTTATTTAAATTATCTTTTTTCCCAAAGCATCTAGCACATTTTATGCCTACAATAGTCTCTACATTTTCTTCATAAATAACAAAATAACAGAATTTTAGGTCTAGATAGGATCTTAAGGTTTATTTAGGCTGCTATGGTTCACATAATTTGTCTAAGTTCACAAACTGACTTTACAGTTAGATCCTAGATCATCTGACTCCTAGTTCAGGGCTCTTTCCATCTCTGTTAAGGAATAAAGCTGCCTCTATAAAAATAAATGAATACATCCAATTAGAAGGAATGAAAATAATGTTTTGAAATATAAAATGTCAGAAGATACACAACACTGCCTGAAAACAATGAAAATGGAAACTGTCTAGTGGTCTACACAGAGGAGATAATAGACTTACCCTGACAATGAAGAGCTCAGCACCAAGCTGTGCAGTTTGTTCTGTAGAAAGCTGCAAGCAAGCAGAAGACAAAGTAAATGTCCAAGAACTCACTAGTGTGACTTTCATATCATTCACTGCAACAGACTCCAAAGGTCCGACTAAAATCTCTGATCAACATGGAATTCTGCAATATGGAATGTAGCTTGAATAAACAGGCTGGCAAAGAGGCTAACTTTTCTGGCACCCAGATTTTGGGGAAAATAGTAACTGTAACAGGAAATAGCTGCCTACAGAAAATTGTTCAATAATAGGAGTTCAGATACCTTGGCAGCCAGGATGGAAATGATAGCAACTGCCATCCTTTGCATGTTTTGATCCTCATGGTTGCAGAGCCACTGCATGACAAGCTTGGCTGCTTCAAACCTGAAAACACACAAACGGTTTCCATGAATGAATCCCGGAGGTGCAGGCAGTTTCAGAGCTCTAGCTGGGAACTGATGCTACAATTTAGGTAGGTGAGAAAGAACGGGAAAATTCCTAATTGATACAGAATAACAATTACACTTGAGTGTTTTGGAAATGGTGCCTAGTTGTTAATTCTGACAACACTTTGCAAAGAAACAAGAGTTTGGGAAGTATGATCAAAACTATCTGGCATTTATCTTCTAGAATTATAACATATTTCTATCCTGTAGTAATTTCTACACTGTATTGAGTATTTTCTGGGTCCTTATAGTACCTAGCACCACAGAAATATTCATTTATTCACTCACAAACATTTATTGAGCCCCTGATTTGTGCCAGATACTGTTCCTGGTGCTGGAGACAGAGCAGTGAACAAAACAGAAAAATATCTCCGCTCTCACAGAGCTTACACTGTAGTGTGGAAGACAGATAATAAATTAAACAAGTAAGTAAAATATGTGTTATGTGCTATAGAGAAAAAAATTAAGCAGGTAAAGAGAGAATATGAAATGTTGAATTTTAGGTAAGGCTACTTAGGAAAGGCCTCACTGAAACTTTTGAGGAAGTAAGAGAGCTGGCTGTGTGGATATCTAAGGGAAAAGCATTCTAGGCAGAGAGTGGAAGACACAACGACGCTGAATTGGGAGTATGCCTGGAGGTTTTGAGAAATAGCATGGAAACCAGTGAGAGCCAGAGCAGAGAGAACAACAATAGTACTAAGACATGAGGTTAGAAGTAACAGGGGAGCCAGATCATAGGGTCTTTGTAAAGAATTAGCTTTTACTTGGAGACTGAAAGCCATAGAAAGATTCTGAGCAGAGATATGACATGAACTGACTTATGTTTTTAATAGGATTATTCTATTAGCTGTGTTTAAAATAAACTTCAAGAAGGAAAAGAAAGAAGCAGAGAGAGCAGTGCAGAGGCCACCACAGTAATTCAGGAGAGAAGTCACTTTTAGTCTAGTCCAAATGGTAGAAATGGAAGTGAAGAGAAATGGTTGAATTCATGATATATTTGGAAGATAGCTGGATTTGTCAGAGGACAGAATGTGGGGTGTGAGATGAGGAGAGAAATCAGGACGACACCAAGGAATATATCCATAATATATCTTTCATCTTTCAAGACTTGGCTCAAAGATCACTTCCGCTGAGAAGCTTTCCTTGACAAGTTTATTACTGCTTTCTCACTGCTCCTTAGTATTTGTTTGTAACTCTGTCAGAGTGATTATCTGTAGCCTCACATGAATCCCCCATTGGCCCATGAGTTCCTTGACGTAAAGGACTATGTCCTATTCAGCCCTTTATACCAAGAACCCAATACAGAGCTTTACACATGAATAGTGTTTAATACATGTTGGCTGATTTACAGAGATATAAATTACTCCTCCGCAAATTCTCTCCAATTTACTGTTACCTCCTTTCTATTCCCAAGGCCATCTTGGATTCTTTTACAGTAGATTCCTAATGGGCCATTCTGCCTCATTGTTTTCCCTTCAATTTGTGCCTACGCATTGGTAATACGTCAATCTGTCAGAGAACTTAGGTATGATGTCATTCCTGTACTCACAGTATTTTCAGACTCCAACAATGGGCCCGTACTTTCAAATCTTTTTTCCTGCCTGCCCGATGCTTACTGCAAAGTGGACTGCTCATTAGTCCCCAAACATGCCCACAATTATGATTAAGAGAGTCTTACTGTTAAAAGAGCACAGATTCTGAAGCTCCTTGTATTTTGGGGTTTAAATTCTAGTCCTACCTAATGTTGCTGGTAATAATAAAATACATTATTTTATCATATGAAGCAATGCAGGGAAGTCATTAAGAACATCACGCATTCTGAAGTCAGCCCAGTTTCAAATATCACTTCTACCACTTACTAACTTTGGGAATCTGGGGCAATTTCCTTAATCTCTCTGAACTTCAATTTTCTCATCTGTAAAATGATAAGATCTATTCAACAGGACTGTTGTGAGGATTAAATAGTATTACACATAAAACTTAAGACTTAGTACAGAACTTAGCACATACCAACCTTTTGATAAAGGTTTTTTTCTATTATTATTATTAACTTCCTCTGTACCTGTATTTGTACAGTTCCCACAACATAAAACAATCAATTCAACCAGCTCTCATCTCCAAAGCAATACAGCAAGGATGTAAAAAGTAGAGGTTCTGGAGTCATTCTGGATTTAAATCTAAATTCTGCTACTTGCTACATCTTAATCACCTTGAGAAAGTTACTAAACCTCTCTCTGTCTGTTTTTTCATCTATAAAATGAAAATTATAAGAATAACAATTTCACAGGACTTTTGTATGGACTGAATAAACATATGTGAAACACTTAGCACAGTGCTTGGCAATAGAAGTGCTTTATACAGGTTAGTCGTTATCTTTATTATCTCAAATGCCATCACTAACATGAAATCTTTAATGATCACCAATCAGATGAAATCTTTCCCTCCTCGTTTGGGGGCCCAATGCATTCTGTCATCTTCTTCTATGAAAAATTCTGTCTTCTGTCATACTCATTTTTCATTCATTCATCCATCAAACATCCACTTAAGCACTAGAGACAAAGAGATTAACCAATCACAGTCTCTGACCACAAAGAAGCTCAAATCTAGCAGTGTATTGGCTAGATCAGAGGTAAGTAAAGTATAGCTTACATAGAGTGATTTTATAGCTGTGGGCCCAGCTGCCTGTTTTCTAAAGTTTTATTGGAACATAGTAAAACCATTTGTTTATATATCATCTTTGACTGCTTTGGAGGTACAATGGCTGAGTTAAGTAGTTGCAACAGAGACCCTATGCCTAATAAGCCCAAAATATTATTAGTTAGCCCTTTAAAAGAAGTTTGTCAACCCCTGGGTTAGTTGACAATTTTCTTTAGGAAAGTGACTATGTCTTTCCTACATATGACTTCATGTAATCAGTACAAATGCTCAGTATTTACAAAATAAAACTAATAATCTACATGAGAGATATATGTAGTTATATTTTTATCCAAACTATTTATTTGAAATAGTAAATGGAATATCTCATTCCTCAGCTGTGCCAGATAACAGTGTACTGTTACCCAAATAAATCACAGTAAAATTGCTGCTTGAGAAATATACGTTTCATTAAATCATAAGTATATTTTCTTTTTCAATACCATCATTAAAAATTATATTTAAAATAGTAAGATGACAAAAAATCTTTTTTAGCTCTCAAATCACACCTTAGAAAGCAAGGGAAGAACACTTTATATTTACTTGAATCCAGCTATATAACCTCCCTTAGCCTCTATTTAAAAAGTTTCTTCTATAATTCAGTATCAAATAACAATAATAATAAGAGGAATGTACAGAGAAAAGAACACTGGACTTCAGTCTTTCTAGCCTTGCAGTTACTAGACACAAAACCATGAGCAAGACACTGAATCTATATGCCTCAGTTTCTTCAGCCTACAATGTGTGGATACTCTAAAAACTATAATATAAATTTTTAAGCAAAGGGCTATGAAAACAGGCCCATCTGCTAGCAGGAATGTCTAAACACTAAATGAGAGAAAGTAGAGTTAGCATTCTTTAAGGTAGTGTAGAATCCCATCCACTTGTTAACTATACACCAAGGATATGCCAACTGGTAAAAAATGGCCTGAGACAGAGTTCTAAAATTCCATTTTGGCCCATTTTAAGTTCTGGGGCTAACACTTGCCTGTTGAATGGAACATCTTGAAGGATCCGGTCACTGCAAAGTGAAAGGAGGCAATTCTTCTGTAACTAAAGAACCAAAGGGAGAAAAAAAAATTCCTGAATAAAATATCGTTTTGTTATTTTTTAACTAGGTGTAGCCTCTATAAAAAAAGGAAGATCACTGATGAAACATCAATTATCTCTTACAACTTTTGTTCTGCCTCCCTACTGTTGAAAGACTGACTTCCACTGGATCCATGTGAATTTACTTGCGCATATTCTTTGTCTCTTCCATGAGATGACATAGGATAATAAAAAGAATTAATATCAGCTAATCTCCCTCCCTTCCGGTGACCTTTGGGTGGGTCCTGCTTTGTCCTCTATCCACCTGGCTCCCAGAGGCCATAAAAATCAAAGCCTAGGGGTGCTTGGGTGGCTCAGTCGGTTAAGTGACCAGCTCTTGATTTCAGCTCAGGTCAAGATCTCAGGGTCCTGGGATTGAGCCCCAAAATATGCTCCACTCTCAGCAGGGAGTCTGCTTGAGGATTCTCTCTCCCTTTCCCTATGCTTCTCCCCGAACGTACACACACGCATGCTCACTCTCTATAATAAATAAATAAATCTTGGGGCGCCTGGGTGGCTCAGGTGGTTAAGTGTCTGCCTTCAGCTTGGGCCATGATCCCAGGATCCTGGGATCCAACCCCGCGTCGGGCTCCCTGCTCAGTGGGGAGCCTGTTTCTCCCTCTCTTCTACTGCTCCCTCTGCTTGTGCTCTCACTCTCTCTGTAAAATAAATAAATAAAATCTTAAAAAAAGAAAAATAAATCTCAAAAAAAAAAAAAAACCAGGGATGCCTGGGTGGCTCAGTCAGTTAAGTGTCTGCCTTCGGCTCGGGTCATGATCCCGGGGTCCTAGGATAGAGTCTGCCTGCCGCTCCCTCTGCTTGTGCTCCTTTGCTCTCTCTCTCTGACAAATAAATAAATAAAATAAAATAAAAACACAAAAAAAACCCCAAAGCTTAAAGCTCATCCAATTTGGCAACTGCCCTCAATGAGGGGAGCTGGCTTTAATGATCCACTCACCAATCTGGATTGCCTTTTTTTTTTTTAAAGATTTATTTGAGATTTATTTTTTGGCCTCTGAGTATTTTTTATTAACTTGCCAAATGGCCGCTAAGTTTTAAGAATTAAAAATATAATTTTTATATTTTCAATTTTCATCTGAGGATAGGACAGGTTATGAAGCCTACCATACAGCTAGAAGTAGAAAACCCACGTCTTATTCATTTCCGTATGCCAGTACTTGATAGTGCCTGGCCCAGAAAAGATGTGCTATGGCTATTTGCTGAAATTATCACAAAGTCAAGATTGAGGTAGAAGATGAGTTTTTTATGGTTTGCACTATTTCCCTCAGCATTTGGATTTAAATACTTTTAGGCAGGGAATGTACTCTTTAGTTTTCTACTTCTCTGTTTTTCTACACTCGGTCATACCATAAATTTATTACTTTACAGTCTACGAAGGCATTTGAATTTCCAGCCTTGGTCTACTAAATTGAACTGTATGGAGGTAGAAGATGGGTAGGGGGCACTAAAAGGACTATTTGAATAGGAATGCCCACATGCTTACCTGCTGGTGATTGGGAAAATGTTCCATAGCTTTGAGCAGCAAATGGGTCACATCTGCCAGGAGTCGGACAGGCATTCCCGCAGCAAGATCCTGCTTAGTTAAGTTAAACACACAGGCACTTGCAGCAAGTTGTACTGGCAAATTCATAGGGTGGTTTCTCATTCCAGTAACCACAAGCTGGAAAAAAATTAGTTCTCTTTATTCACATTATTAATACCAGCCCTCTTAACATAGAAACTTTACTTTGTTGATCTATAACAATTTCTAAGATGTCTTAAGTTATCTTTTTTATCCTCATGTGCAAAGAGCCTAGGTAGGGCATGGCAATCACTTATCAACACATAGTTCCTGCCCACCTGGTCCAGGAAGGTATCAAGTTGTTCATACTGAGGGATTTTTCGGTAGGGCTAATGAATCTTTTCTATTCAGATAACTCATCTGTGTATTTCCCAGACCTAGTACAGTTCCTCTTATATGCTAAGCACTAAATAAATTCTTACTGATTTTAGAGTAAACCAGTGGCAAACTTTCCACTTTCAAATCCCCAACATTCAGTTTCTTGAGAACATTGCTAAAGTTATAGTATAATAAAATCCATTTGCTTCCCTCTGGCCTAGATAACTGTTTCTCATCTTTTCCTCTCTCCTCAGACCCCAACAAATCCTCCCAATTGTCACTATCAGCTAAAGAACCTTGCTTCCAATTACACTGAGAAAATTGAAACATTCAGAAAAGAACTTCAGATTCTCAATACTACATGTATCCTCCTTATCAGTACATAAACATGCATATGCTGCCTTCCTATTACCATAAATGATCTTTTTGGGTTCCTCTCTAAAGGTAATCCCTCCACTTACATGCTACATCTTTCACTTCTTGTCTACTCAAGGACATTGCTTCGGCTGTTCTTCTATCATATCAATTTTTTATTCTGTACTGGATCATTCATATCAGCATACAAAAAAGCTATTTTTCCTCCCATCTTAAAAAAGAAAAAACAAAAAACAAAACAGTTCCTCAGCCAACTACCATCTTTTTCCTTTGCTCTCCTTTGCAACCAAATTCCTTAAAAGAATTCTCTATATTCTTTAATTTCTCTCTGCACCATTCTCTGAATGAATGAATGAGTAAATATTTCAGATCAGGACTAGAGGTCCTTTGTTGCTCAGGTTCACAGTAACCAAAACCAAAAAAAGATAATTCATATACCAAGTGCCAATATCCTCTGGTATATATGGAAGGGTGACTGGTATTAGAGATTACATCCCAGTGATTGAAATGTTATTGGTTTCTATCCAAGCATCCCATTCTGAAAATTTAAGATAACGGGGTGGTTAAGTCATTTCTGGCTCTGCCACTAACTTACTGTTACTTAACTGTCACATACCTTTAGTTACACAATCCGTAAAATAAAAGATAAAGCTTATCTATTGGGATTGTTGTGCCCACTAAATGAGGCATCAAATATAATACAGTCCTACACTCACTGGTTTCAAATGTGTATTAGGATTATCTTGGGGGATTATTAAAATGCAGATTCTTGTACCTCATCCAGCCTTATTGAGTCTAAATGTCTTAAAGTGGGGTTCACAAATATGCTTTTAAAAATAAATAATATTCCAGACTTCTGGTGGACAAAGGACCACAATCTGATAAACATAGCCCTAAGCAATTAACAAAAATTAAGAATCTTTCTTTCTTGCTCTTCAAAAGCTGTCTTGGTTAAAAGATTTTAATTGGGAAATATCATGAATTAATGACGAAAGCACAGGTGGTTCAAAAGTGGCATGGGAAGGTACCTTATGGAATTCCAATATTATATTTCTTTAAAAAGTCTATATGGAAGCAATACAATACAGTGTTGTGATTCCAGTCATATACTTTCATTTTTTACTGTAGATGGTGAAAAAAATATCACACTGGTCACTGGTTTTAGGTAGTTAAAGATGAAGTGGAAGGCGTTTATACTGATTACTGACACTACTATAAAACTTCAATAACACTATGCAACTACCTTCTCTCTCATTATGGCTAACAACTGAAATCGTACCTCATCTCAATCCCATTACCAAAAAAAAAAAAAAATCAAAGACAAATGCAAATTTTCACCAATTTTCTTCACAAAGCCATCATCTGTATCCAGGGAGATAATTTCAAAATTTTTGTAACCAGTTTCTTATTCTTACCTTTAAAATTTCTGGCTTTGTTTTTTCCATCACATGAGTCAGGCTAAAAAGGTGAAATAGAGCTTCCCGGACAAAGAATGCCCGTTCACTGTAGCGCTTCAATGCTTCTGCAATCTGAGTTTCATTGGCTTCTCCAGACACCTTTGAACATAGCCATAAGATTAGCTTTTAGGATTTCTTCAACCCTCTAACTTTCTCTAGCCAAACATCATTTGTATATATGGCGTCCAGGATAGCCATTTAAGTCTTGAAACAAATGTGACTGATTACTTTCCAACCCACCCAGAATAGTCATCCTATGAAGGTGCTAAAGAGATGTATGTTAGATAGGCTTACCCTACTATAAGCCTATGGTTAACATTTTCTACACTGCACCTAAAGTAAATCTTAAGATATTTAACACTGTTTATAAAGCCTTACCACGTGATTAGGCTCTTATTTTGTCTCTTAGAGTAACTCCTTAATTCCCCCTAACTCATGTTAAAGCTACACTGGCCTTTTTTTCCTGATCTTTCAATAAGCCAAACTCTTTCCCAGCAAAAGGCCATTATATATAACATCTTCTCTGACTGAAATCTTCCTCTTTCTTTGACTAATTTCTAGTCATCCTTCCCAATTCAAGTTAAATGACACTTCTTTAGAGAGGCCTTCCCTGACCCACCAATCTAAATCAGGTCCCCCTAAACATCTCCTTCATAACCATTATCATAATCCCCCCACTCAATTGATCCATTCACCACTGTACCACAACAATTAGCATTATGTGTGGTTTAGAATAAGCGCTCAATAAGTATTCATCAAATAACTGTGTCAATTAATTCCCCCAGATTTATCTAGCTCCCATTCAGCATCAAGAGATTCTGTTCAGGAGCACCTGGCTGGCTCAGTTGGTAGAGCATGCAAATCCTGATCTCAGTTGTGAGTTAAGCCCCACATTTGGTGTAGTGTTTACTTTAAGATTTTATTTATTTATTTATTTGAGAGAGAGAGCGTGCATGTGCGCGCGTGAGTGGGGGGTGGGGCAGAGGGAAGAGGGAGAAGCAGACTCCCCATTGAGCCGGAAGCCCGATGTGGGGCTCAATCCCAGGACCCCTGAACTTTCTCTTAGATTTTCTTTTATTTTTGAAGACATTGAAATACTATGTGAAATAAAAAAGACTGTAAGAGGGAAAATCTTGAACAATTATCTCAGTAAGACTTAATTTACCCATATTTGGTTGATTCAACTGCTTTATAATATCTATATGAAATACAGCCTCAAGTTATCTTTGAATGTAAAAATAAAGAACTTTTGGGGCGCCTGGGTGGCTCAGATGGTTAAGCGTCTGCCTTCAGCTCAGGTCATGATCCCAGGGTCCTGGGATGGAGCCCCGCCTCAGGCTCCCTGCTCAGCAGGAAGCCTGCTTCTCCTTCTCCCTCTACTGCTCCCTCTGCTTGTACTCTCTCACTCTCTGTTGAATAAATTAAATCTTAAAAAAAAATATTAAAAAAAAGAAAATGTTAAATATTCTAAATGAATTTCATTGCATGTATGTTTTATTCAGTGATCAGTACTTCTCTAGCAAGTGATAAACCCTCAAGTCAAGTAATCTGACTCCTCAAACTACAAGCATCTTCAATTCAACCAATTTCATATACTAGATGATAAAAAAAACAAGTATCTGTATGTACCGGTTTCTGCAAACAATTTAAAATAGAGGTGGGGCACCTGGGTGGCCCAGTCAGTTAAGAGTCCAACTCATGGTTTTGGCTTAGGTCACGATCTCAGGGTCAGGAAATCGAGCCCTATGTCAGGCTCCATGCTCAGTGCAGAGTCTGCTTAAGACTCTCTCTCCCTCTCCTTCTACCCCTCCCCCTTGCTCTATCTCAAATAAATAAATAAAATCTTTAAAAAATTAAAAAAAAAAAACAGGGGCAACTAGGTGGCTCAGTCAGTTAAGCATCTGCCTTCAGCTCAGATCATGATCCCAGGGTCCTGGGATCGAGCCCCGCATCAGGCTCCCTGCTCTGGGGAGAGCCTGCTTCTCCCTCTCCCTCTGCCTGCCACTCTGCCTGCTTGTGCTCTGTCAAATAAATAAATAAAATCTTTAAATAAGTAAATAAAACAGAGAAAATGTCCATAACCACTAAATTAAGCCTTGTTAATATTTAATATACTGAGTAAAACTACACTTTATATTCTAAGGAAAAATTTTCTTATAGCACTCTGTATATAACTCTATTAAAGCATGTCTCACACTGAATTAAACCTATTTTTAAATTTATCTGTCTCCTTTCCACTAGACTAGAATTCCTTGAGAGCAGGGGCACTAACTCAGATGTCTTCGTAGGGGCGCCTGGGTGGCTCAGTAATTGGGTGTCTGCCTTTGGCTCAGGTCGTGATCCTGGGGTCCTGGGATTGAGCCCCACGTTAGGCTCCCTGCTCAGTGGGAAGCCTGCTTCTCCTTCTCCTATTCCCCCTGCTTGTGTTCCCTCTCTCGCTGTGTCTCCCTCTGTCAAATAAATAAAATCTTTAAAAAATAAAAAATAAATAAAAATAAAATAAATAAAATAAAAAGTACTTAGTAAATGTCTTTTGAAATGGATCAACTCTTCTGCCTAAAGACTTATATGGATCTTCACTGGGTATTGATTGCTGCAGTCCAATATAGGAGTCTTAGTTCAAGGGAGAAGTCTAGCATATAGATCTAAGGATTGAGAAATCTTTAGATATTTAGAGACCTGGGAAATGAGAAAGAACCAATAAAGAAAATTAAGGATGGTAGTCAGAAAAGTTTGAAAAAATGATAAGAGTGATACCTAGGAAGCTAAGTAAAAATGAGATCTAATATTGAGTTTTGCACATTTCCAGTGATTCTCAGGAACTGGGAACCACAGCTTAGTAGATAACCCCAAAGTCTGGGAATGACATGGCCAACAAATCCTAGTTGTGGAAAAATGGAAGGTTCAGAAAACTGATGGTGACAGAAGAGCAAATTGGGTGGGGAAACAATGACAGAGTTAGAAATTCTATGGTAAGATAACCCTCTGTGTTGGGACTAGAAATTGAGGGGAAAGTAAAGAACTAAGATTCTCAAACAGAGACGATGAGATATAGTGTAAAGGACACATGCTTTGGAATCAAACAGTCCGAGATACAAAGGCAGACTCCAGTATCAGCTGGTTGTCACCCTTAAAGCCATTCCCTCTCACTGAGGACAATACCTCTCTCACAGGGTCAAGAGATCAAACTAAGTAATACACATGAAAGTGCAAAAAACAAACCTCTTTTTAATATTTATTTGTTTGTTTGAATTTGGGGAGGGGCACAGAGGGAGAGGGAAAGAGAAACCTACTCAGACTCTGCACTGACTGCAGAGCCCGACATGGTGGTTGGGGTGGCGGGGTTGATCTCACAACCCTGAAATCATGACCTGAGCCAAAACCAAGAGTCAGATGCTTAACTGACTGTGCCACCCAGGTGCCCCCTCAACTAATTTAAAGCATCACAATCCTAAAACAATCATTTCAGACAACTTTTTCAAACAACTTTGCTAAACTGGACAATTTTTAAAAAGGAGATGTGGCAATCTCAGCTATTTTTCAGTTCTCAAATCAGTAAATAATTTAAAAGGAACATCAATTTTTGTATATAGTTGAACAAAAGGGAAAGTTCAATGATCTCTTTTTAAGTTTGTGTTTTGTTTTGTTTTGAGTAATCTCTATACCTAACATGGGGCTTGACCTCATACCCCAAGATCAAGAGTCCCATGCTCTTGAGCCAGTAAGGTGCCCCCCAATGATCTCTCTTTTCTTAATTTTTTAAAAATATTTTATTTATTTATTTTTATTTGACAGAGAGAGACACAGCGAGACAGGGAACACCAGCAAGGGGAGTGGGAGAGGGAGAAGTAGGCCTCCCGCAGAGCAGGGAGCCCGATGGGGGGCTCGATCCCAGGACCCTGGGATCACGACCCGAGCAGAAGGCAGCCACCCAACGACTGAGCCACCCAGGTGCCCTCTTTTTTTTTTTTTTTTTTAAGATTTTATTTATTTATTTGAGAGAGAGAGAGAGCACAAGCAGGGGGAGCTGCAGGCAGAGTAGGCAGAGGGAGAAGCAGGCTCCCCACTGAGCAGGGAGCCCGATGCGGGACGCGATCCCAGGACCCCGGGATCATGACCTGAGCCGAAGGCAGACATTTAACCGGCTGAGCCATCCAGGCGCCCGCAGTGATCTCTTTAAAAAAAAAAAAAAAAAATTATTTTAAAACAATGATTCTCAACTTCAGCTGGAATATTGCAATAACCTAAGGAGCTTTAGAAAATACTGATGCCTGAGTCCTACCTCCCTGTGGTTCTGATTTAATTGTTCAAGCTCCAGGGCACCTGGTGGCTCAGTTGGTTGAGCGACTGCCTTCGGCTCAGGTCATGATCCTGGAGTCCGGGGATCAAGTCCCGCATCAGGCTCCCTGCTCAGCAGGGAGTCTGCTTCTCCCTCTGACGCTCCCCCCTCTCATGCGCTCTCTCTCCATCTCTCATTCTCGCTCTCTCAAATAAATAAATAAAATCTTAAAAAAAAATTGTTCAAGCTCCACAAATGATTTCTTTTAATTAAAATTTTTGGGGGGCACCTGGGTGGCTCAGTCATTAAGCGTCTGCCTTCGGCTCAGATCATGGTCCCGGGGTCCTGGGATCGAGCCCGGCATCGGGCTCCCTGCTCCACGGGAAGCCTGCTGGTGTTCCCTCTCTCGCTGTGTCTCTCTGTCAAATAAATAAAATATAAGAAAAAAAAAATTTTTTTCCAGGGGTGTGTGGCTGGCTCAGTTGGTAGAGCATGTGACTTTTTTTTTTTTTTTGGTGGGGGAGGAGGAGTAGAGAGAGAATCCCAAGCAGGCTCCATGCCCAGTGGAGAGACCCACGTAAGGCTCGATCCCACAACCTGGAAATCATGACCTGAGCTGAAATCAAGAGTCAAGTGCCCTTAAAGCATGTGACTCTTGATCTTGGGGTCGTGAGTTTGAGCCCCATGTTGGGTATAGAGATTACCTAAAAATAAAATCTTTAAGAAATAATAAATAAATATTTCCCCCAGCTTTATCAAGATATAATTGACATATGTCATTGTGTAAGTTTAAGGTGTACAACATGATGATTTGATACATGTATATATAGGGAAATGATTACCATAAGGTTGGTTAACATATCCATCATTTCACATAATTACACTCCAGGTGATTTTAATTGTAGTCCAGGTTGAGAGTCACTACTTCAATGTTTACAGAGGAGGAAACTAGATAGTGATACCAAATAAAGTAGGTGGTTCATATGGTCAAGATTTCAAAGTAATAACGGCTCCATTTGTGAAATCAAACTTGTTTCACAAAAAAAAATAAAAATAAAAAGCAAAAAAACCCCCACAAACTTGTTTCACAGAAGCATTGTGAAATACAGATGTCCTACTAGTCTCAATTTTATAACTTAGTCTAATTCACTGGAGGGTCTGTTGGTTGTAAGAAGAAACCAGCAAAAACTGTACTGCTCTGGGATCATACCTATTACAGGATCTTTGCCTTGGGAATATTATTTAGCTTGACATACCAGGGACACATTCCTTTCATCCTTTAGGATGAAGGTCAAGCTCACCTCTTCTCGGAAATTCTCCCTTAACTCCCAGCACACAGGGATTTCTTCCCCTTTTAATTTTTAGAATTCTTTACTATTAGACCAATTTGTTAGGCAGTTAAGTAACATTACAATAGTAATTTACATTTTTATATTTCCTTCATCAACAAGCCCTGTGCTAAAAATCTGTCTTGTTCTATAACAAGTTGTTAAGTAAGGTCCTCACACTTCTTGTTGCCCTGCACCTGGCTTATGTGACCTTCCCAAGTCTGGCCCTGGTGCCTACTTTTCCAGCCTCATCTCATTGTTCTGTGACTTTCTACTGTTGAGCTCTAGCCACAGTGGCCTTTCTTTCAGTTCCTTGGATATACCGTGCTCCTTCCTACCACACATATTTTGTATATATTATTTATTCTCTCTGCCTGGAATGTTCTCTACCAAGCTACTCAGCCTTAAGATCTCTACTCATTCATCAATTCTTCAGAGAAGCCTTAAATTAAGTCAAGTCTCTCTGTTAAACACTCTCATATATAATACTGCATTATCTTCTAGATTTTAGCACAATATAGTTTAAAGCCTATATACAGGCATGTATATATGATATACATATATATATGTGATATATATATTTAAATATATATGTGTGTATGTATATTTAAAGCACATGCACACACTGTTGGCATATGGTATTTGATTGCTTGACTCCCTCACTAAATTACAAGCTCCATGAGGGCAAAATCATGCCTGTTTGGCTCCACCATCAAATCCCCATGCCCAGCACAGTGCCCAGTGCACACAGGCACTAGATAAAATATTGAATAAAAAAGAGTCACTCAAAATCATTTTCTACATTCTATTTTTTAAGGTCTAAATTTACAAATAACCTAAGAATTGAGATGTTTATAAGATATTTACAACTAACCTTTCCTTCCCTTTTGAATGTCATGATTACTCAAAAAAGATAACCTTGCCTTTTGGGTCACAATATCCACTTCTAGGCCATCCCTGACTCTGCTCCAGGTAGGATCAAAGGATGCTTCTGCTTAAGTAAGTGTAGGTAGTAGGGGGAAAAAAATGGGGCTCTGGAATTAGATGTAAATCCAAATGTTGGTTCTAACTGTAAATCATATAATTTCTGAGTCTGTTTCTCATCTATAAAATGAGGCTAATACCTATCAAAGTAAGGCTTCTAGAGGATACACAGTGTATGTTAGAAGAATATTAGTTTTCCTTAAACTTGTCACAATTGTATCCTTCAAGGTCTGACTCAGATACCATCTTTTCCATCAAGCCCCAAGTTCTCCAGCTGGAAGAAATTTCTTCTACTCTCTTACAGCGATTACAATGATCTTTGGGTTTATAGTTATTTATGATTGTATCATCACCAAGACTAAGCTCCTTGAAGGCAGATCCTATATCTTTTTCATCTTTGAATCCCAAGTACCAAGGAGACAAATTTAAACCATTAGGCATGAAACACCTTAAGAAAAGCAAAATTGCACCACTTCTACAGTAAAGATCTCCCCTTGGAGAACCTGACTCCCCAATGGATATCAATTCAACAAGGAGTACCCTTAGTTTTTTAAAGTGACCAGTTAGAAATGGTATGTTACAGTGGTTCAAAATATCTAAATATTACCATCATGAAAACTATCATTTATCTAAGGCCTACTACGTGACTTGCACTTTACATATACAACTATTAATCTTTAGAAGAATTCTCTTAGATAGAATATCTGTTTTATAAATAAAGAAATGGAAACCCAAAAAGTTACATCCTTGTCTTGGTCTGGGTCACAAAGCAAGCAAGCTAGGATTTTAATTGGGACTCTCTGACTCTAAAGCAAGGCCTTTCCACTATACAATGCCGTTTTTCACAGACATGTTCCATATATTGTTAGACATTCATCTTAATGGAGCCTTACGCAGCTAAGACATTGGTCAGCCTGACAAAATAATACATTTTTAAAGTCTAACCTTCAAATGTCCTTCACCGGTGAGGAATTCAGAGTAACCTGCATCAGTGGCCAGCAAACCTACAAACTGCATGCTGGGCCGTTGTTGTATGAAGGCTTCAACAGCTTTATCTGTCACGTGCTTTCTCCCAGAAACATCTAGGGAGACAAGGTTGGGTAGGATGTCCTTTTGTTCTAGTAAGCGAAGAGCTATGTCTGATGTAAACTGTTTATCATCTGAAATATCAAGATGATTCAGATGTTTTAGTTCCCGAACAACATCCAGTATCTGGGTAGTTGTCATTTTTAAACATTTCAAGTGGTGCATGGTTAGAGACTTGAGTCGGTCTTTGCAGGCCAGCAAAGCTGTGATGTCTGTGATTGAGGTGTTAGAAATATCCAGGCTCTCTAATCTTGGCAATGAGGCAACTTCAGCGAGGTCTTCATTGTAAAAGAGAACATTGGTAATGCTTAATGCTCGAAGGCCAGAAAGCCGGCTGAAGCACCGCTCATAAGGATCTTCGAGGGAAAGAGTTAACGAGTTCAGCACGAGGCACTGGAGATTTTGCTGGATCCATTTGTTACTGCCAAGCCCACTGATGATGTCTGTAATCGTGATGTCTGCATTCACACCTGTAGCATCAAGTTCCACTAACTTGTGATGGCAGAAGGCTTTCCGGAAAGCAACAGCAGAGATCTTGGCTTTGCGAATGCAAGCACGCTTTAAGCGCATCTGGTTGCCCCTGAAAATACCTACAGTTCCATCATTCAGTAGACCTGGAAAAAAATAAGCAGCACTTTAATTTCAAAAGATAATTAAAGAATAGCTAAAATTTCCAGCACACATTTCCAAAGCACACCCATGTAACAATATTTCATTTAATATACATAACAATTCCATGAGGTAAGAATATTATTATTACAACTTATAGATGAGTAAACTAGGGCTGAGAAAAGTGGCTTTCCAAGATCATGGGGCTAGCAAGTGACTATGGTAGTTATTACAGATATTCACTAACATCTGGTTCTACTTGCCTTCCTGGATACGCAGACAGCTACATTTCCCAGCCCACCCTTGGAATTAGATGGGGCCATGTGCCTAGTTCTGACCAATGGCCTATAGGATGAAGCACCTGAGAGCCAGTGCATGATTTCCTATGCTACTTTTTCCTGCTATGACAAATAAGGAGTCTTCAAGTTCTAGACAGTATAGATTTCTGAGAGTGGAGCCTCCATCAGCTTGGATCCAAGAGTGACATGAAGCAGAACCCTCCATGGACTTGGAGCATTTGAGTGAGGTATAAACAAACTTTATGTTAAGCTATTGAATTTGGGGAATTAATTTGTTACCAATACATTCCTAGTCTATCCTTCAATTTCACTATAATACATTATTACACAAACATATATATACACACATATATTTAGCACATACATATCTACATTCAGATCACTGGCTAGATCTGAAATCTTATTAAAAGGATCTAGAGGTTATAGTCACTTTCTGTCAGACAAATTCAAATAAAGTGGATACAGGAACCTCTTAAAGTCCCTTAGAGATCCACCTGGCTAGCAATTAATAGTGCCAGAAGTATATGACACTTTGGAACCACATCAATCTCAACCATATCACCATATCAATTAAATATTTCCTGTGAAAGTAACAGCCATGCCAATAAAAGACAGCCTAAGAAAGGTCTAGGGTGAGTGAACAGTTAGGACCAGGTAAATAAATAGCCTGGAGTCAAGGGAAGAACTCTAAGTGGCACCTCAGGAGACTCATACTAAAGATACAGCTTGGGCTGCTAGCCAGTCACCCTTATATTAGAACTAAAGTATATTTTTAAAGGGAACACTGCTTTCTAGTGGATTTTGCAGACTTATTCATGGTTAAAGAGTTAAAATCAAGAAAAACCTTTACCTGTCACAGTGGACAAAAATGACTATATATTAAGAACTCCATTATTCTAGAGTTATACTGTCCAAACCAGTAGTCACTAGCCACACACAACTACTGAGCACTTGAAATGCAGATAGTCCTGGGTGCCTGGGTGGCTCAGATGGTTAAGCGTCTGCCTTCAGCTCAGGTCATGATCCCAGGGTCCTGGGATCAGGTCCCGCATCGGGCTTCCTGCTCCTTGGGAACCTGTTTCTCCCTCTGCCTCTCTCTCTCTCATGAATAAATAAATAAAATCTTTGAAAAAAAAAAAAAAAAAGAAATGCAGATAGTCCAAACTGAGGTATGCTGTAAGTATAAAATATACATCAGATTTTGAAGATTTAGTACAAAAAAATGTAAAATATCTTATTAATAACTTTCATATTGACTATATGTTAAATGGTATTTTGGATATACTGGGTTGAATAAAATTATGAATTAGTTTCACCAGTTTCTACTTTTTTTTTTTAAAGATTTTATTTATTTATTTATTTGAGAGAGAGAGAATGAGAGATAGAGAGCACGAGAGGGAAGAGGGTCAGAGGGAGAAGCAGACTCCCCGCCGAGCAGGGAGCCCGATGTGGGACTAGATCCCGGGACTCCAGCATCATGACCCGAGCCGAAGGCAGTCGCCCAACCAACTGAGCCACCCAGGTGCCCCAGTTTCTACTTTTAAAATGTGGCCACTAGTAAATTTAAAATTATATATGTAGGGGTACCTGGGTGGCTCAGCCAGTTAAGCGCCTGCCTTCAGCTCAGGTCATGATCCCAGGGTCCTGGGATAGAGCCCTGTGTCGGGCTCCCTGCTCAGTGGGGGCCTGCTTCTCCCTCTCCTGCTCCCCCTGCTTATGCTCTCTCTCTCCCTCTGTCAAATAAATAAATAAAATCTTAAAAATAATAAAATAAAATTACATACGTGCCTCACATTTGTGGCTCATGTTATATTTCTATTGGGCAGTGCGGTTCTAGAGATAGTCTTAAAATTCTATTTCAGGGGAGTAAATTTCATGGTAAGGTTCCAGCCACTGAACAGTTATTAAACAATTATTATATGTCAAACACTACCAAATGTGTATACAAAGAAATTAAGATATGCCCCTATACTCAAAGAATTCAAAATTCCATGGGGAGAAAGTCTCAATGTAACAAAATGAGATCTATGTTATATCAGAGTCAAGTACAAAGTACCACGGAAACAAAGAAAAAGAAGCAACCCATCATTCCTGAAGATCTAGAAAGATTCAACAGCAGAGGTATTCTTTAAGTCCTTGAAGACGAAGGAAAAATTCAAGGATGAGGGGAGAAAGAAGGGTTGTATTAAAGGAAGAATAAATAGCATAAACAAAGCCTTAGCATACATATATCGAATCACGTTGTACATCTGAAACTAATATGTTATACTGTCAATTTTATCTCAATTTTAAAATGCTCCCCCAAAAGGCCTCAGAGATGTAAAAGCACAACACAGTTAGAAAATGGCAAGTAGTTCTACAATGCTTGAACGTGAGAAACAGGCAGAGCTATAAGATGTTTCCCTGATAAAGAGGGGAAGAACATTAGTAAAGACCTAGATATGACTGAGAACGTGATGCAATCCCAGAGATTTAAGCATGCAAGGGGGGAGAGGCAAGAAATGAGGTGGGAAAGTAAATTAGGGCTAGATAACAGGGAAAGATAAAGAGAAGAAAAGCAGATCAGCTCGGGACCTTGGGACCCAAGAAATGGTATGGTGAGGTTCCTGAGTTTTTTTCTTGCTCCAAATATCCCAGACTTAAAGTTGAATAAGTTGGTAACCCAGAAATGCTGACAAGTGGAGACAAAAAAAAAAAAAGCTCCAAAAAAATCACCTCATTGTAGCTAAAGAAACAGGAAAAAAGCAGTTTAGCAAGACAGAAAACTTTTAGACAAGAACTACTTTACTACAGCCAAACACCACAGAAAAGACTGTGGTCCCACCCTCCCCCACACAAGCAAACGCCATGAGGGGAGCCTAGACTTTTACCCTTGCCAGCTGTAACTAGTTGCTCCAATCTCCCCACAGGGAGGTGTTAGAGAAGTCTGAGTAGGGAGCCAGGATTTTCATCCATGTTGGGCGGTAAGAACCATTCTTTCCCCTATGATGGCAATGGATACCATGTGGGGAGCCTGGACTTTCACATTCATTTGGCAGTAATGAGGTGCTCCTCCCTTTTCCTACTGGGGTGGTCTCAAACAAAGCCCGATGAAGAATCAAGACTTTCACTACTACCCAATAGTAATGAGGCCACCTCACCCCAACATGGTGTTAGTGGAGGCCAACTGGGGAGAGAGATGAAGTACTCACACCCCTCTCAGCTGGAGAGGTATCAGCAGAATCTTAGTGGGGAACCAGAATGCCATTCCCTGCATAACAGTGATGAGAAGTCCCGTATCTTGGGTGTCAACAGAAGTCAAGTGGGAACCAGAACATTTACCCCAATCTGGCAATAACAAGGCAGTGCCTCTACCTTCCCCTGCTGGAGTGGTGTCAGAGACACAAACCAAAACAGAAAACTCTCCTAATACCCTAAATGTCCAAATTTCAATAAAAAATCACTCGTCATACCAAGGACCGGTAAGATCTCAAAATGAAAAAAATAAAATCTATAGATGTCAACACTGAGATAACAGAAAATGTTAAAACTATTTGACAGATTTATTTTTTAAAATATTTTATTTATTTATTTGTCAGAGAGAGAGGGAGAACAAGCAGGGGGAGCAGTAGAGGGAGAGGAAGAAGCGGGTTCCCCAATGTGGGGCCCGCAGGACCTGAGCCAAAGGCAGATGCTTAACCGACTAAGCCACCCAGGCGTCCCTATCTGACAGATTTTAAAGAAGCCATCATAAAAATGCATGTGACTGATTATAAACATGCTCAAAAGCAATAAAAATAGAAAGCCTCAGCAAAGAAATAGAAAATATAAAGAACCAAATGGGGCACCTGGGTGGCTCAGTCAGTTAAGTGTCTGCCTTTGGCTCAGGTCATGATCTTGGGGTCCTGGGGTTGAGCCCTGTGCTGGGCTCCCTGCTCATCGAGTCTGCTTGTCCCTTTCCCTCTGCCCCTTCCCCACCCCCACTCGTGCTCTCTCTCTCAAGGAAATAAAATCTAAAAAAAAAAAAAGAAGAAGAACCAAATAGAAATCTTAGAACTGAAAAAAAAATAATGGTTGGGCTCAACAACAGAATGGAAGGAACAATAGAATCAGTGAACTAAAAGATAAAACAATAGAAATTACCCAAATTTAAATAACAGGAAAGAAAAACAGACTGAAGAAAAAAAAAAACTGAACAGAGCTATTTGTGTCACTGAAGTCGCAGAAGAAGAGAAAGACGGCAAGGCTGAAAAAATACTTGAAGAAATAATGGCTACCTATCAGAATGACTCAAACAGTAATAATAGCAAATGCTGGCAAGTTTGTGGAGAAACTGGATCAGTCATATATTCTGATAGAGATATAAAATGGGACTGTGACTCTGGAAAACAGTTTGGCAATTTCTTTTTTTTTTAATTTTTTTATTGTTATGTTAATCACCATACATTACATCATTAGTTCTTGATGCAGTTTGGCAATTTCTTAAAACCTAAACACGCAACTACCATACAATCCTGCAATAGCATTCCTGGGAATTTATCCCAGAGAAATGAAGACATATGTTAAAACAAAACCTGCAAATGGATGATTACAGCATTATAAGATTCATAATATATTATATTATAACAGCTAAAAACTGGAAATCCAGATGTCCTTCAGTGGATGAATGTTTATACAAACTGATGTACTCCGAAACATGGGCTACTCAGCAATAAAAAAGAGTGGAT